GGAGCCAGTCTGCCATGTGGGTGGGATACCCTGGTCCAAGGAGCCCTTCTTAGCTTCTTTGTTGTTGTTCCAACCATCGGTTCCAACCCTGTTCAAAACGTAACAGCCCCGCCCTTAGCTCCGCCTCTTTCCCATTTTTGGATTGTCTGGGCATGGACAGAACCTGTGACATGGTCAAAAAGGCATCCTGACCAGATGCCCGAGCCAACTCTACTGGCTCCTCTCGATGTGGAGGAGCAGCCAATCTACTCCGAGCCCCTCCCGGGTGACCGAGCTTCTCACCCTATCTCTAAGGAAGAGCCCAGCCACTCTGCAGCTATACATAAAAATATAAACGACACATTGTGCAAAGCCCAAGCCTTTTACTGTCATTTTGTGACATTTAGCATCATGGATTAAAGTAACTGTGAGCAGTTTCCTGGTCCTCATCCTACTGGGTAAAAGTGAAACAACCACTGTTATAAACTACCCTGCGGTAGCTAGTGCTAACAACAAGCTAACACTAACATGATCCATCTAATATTAAAATAAACCAAAAAAATGAAAAGATCCACACTGTTAGACAAAAGATATTATCACTTACAAGTCCAGTAGCAACACAGCCAGGTCACCATCAGTCTGTAATTTTGAAGCCTCCTTTAACTCCCTCAAACTAGTGTAGGCCATGCCGATAATCACTTCAGTTTTAGCTCTTTTCTTTGCCTCCAAAGATATTACTTTCTTACTTTCACTTCTAGGCTCCACCGTGATGCCAACAGACAATGAGAATGTTAACTGCTAGCATTACAGCTAACAGCCATAAAGCAGATAAAGAGCAACCCCTGGAAGACCTACCTGCTCCACAAAACTATTCATGCAGTTTTTGGTCAGCAGAGGGGTGCAGAGTGGTGTCAAACATGAAACTGGTCAAATTTCTAACCCCACAACCACTCAGATCAACGTTAAAGCTCTAGTTTAAACTGTCACCACTGGTACATGTTTTTAGATTTGGTTGGTTTACATTCATTCTAAATAAGCTGGTGTTTAGCTTGTGTCAGCCCAGTAAGAGTTCGTAGTTGGTTTAAATCCCAGAGTCTGGTGAAACATTTCATTTTTACATAGACAGGACATTTTCATTATACCTGACATTTTTTGTTGTGCTTTTGTTACTGTCAAGGGAAATTGAAAACTTGCATTTTACAAGAATTGTTGCAATGTGAATGTTGTTCTGTACTTTATTTAAATCATCAGTTTGATATGCTTTTGTACCATTTCTCATGTTTCCCACACTTTGTGTCAGAGGCCAGGGCAACTCTTTATACTCTGCAGAGCTGTGCAGTACACAAACTCTTCTCACAGTAGCACAGGCAGAGAAAATTAAATGTTGTCACGACGGCTTTGACAAGTAGAGAAGGTTTTTCTTCTTTACATCAGGATATAACATGGGATTAAAAACACAGATGAGATTGTGGTTCTTCTTCACCTGAGAGTGCTTGTATACAAAAAGCTACAAAATACAAAAATAACTAATTACTAAAAGCTGTCTGTATTCAAATACAATCATACACTACAAATATACTTTTGAAATTAAAAAGTGTCTTTACAATATAATAATAGAGACAATAGTGTGTTTATTGATGTTGTTTCAACTGAACTTGTTGCTTCTTCCAAACAGCAACAAAAGTCATTAGTAAAAATAAATGATCAAAAAAGGTGAAATCTTCTATCTTACACCATGATTCCCAGTTAGAGCAGTTTCTAAAGCTTATAATGTGTGCTGTTTTATGACTGCGTGTATAAAAATGCTCAGTTCTGCTGCTTTTTACCTGCCTGTTTGGGTTGTAGACACACTGAAGAGGCACATCTTGCAATAAAATATATCTTTGAAGTGCTTTGTGTCCTCATGGATGAGTAGCTGGCACAGTGTGTTCAAAGTACATGACAGTCACACACACACACACACACACACACACACACACACACACAAACACACACACACACACACACACTGACGATGATGTGTCTGTTGCATCTTTCAAAAGCAGCTTAATGGCTAATCCCGTCTTGCAGCACACAAAAACACAGAAGGTCATCACAAATGGAAACATTGTCTGCTGTATTGTAGAATGTCAATACTGTAATCTGATTGGTCTGGTTGATGGATAGGTGGTTTGGTTGACCTATCACAGTTAACTCAATTATTGCTCCCACATACTCACCTTTTGGTCGTTCCGTCTGCCTTCCTTTCCCTCTCTGTCTCTTTAGTCTGGCTCACTTCCTCACACTTGTTCCTCTTCTCTCTCAGTCTCTCATCTTTTATCTCTCATTTCATTCCTGTCACTAACCAAATTAGTCGTGCCCCTTATGGATTTTTCCCTTTATGGGTCTGTATGAATGGAATGAAAGAAGGATGGGAAGTGTGTGTTTGTGTGTGTATGTGTGTCAGGCTAAGCTGTTCCTACCAGATGTTTCTCTTTGTTTTATTCTTCTGAGCGCCACACTGTCTGCCTGTCACCGGCAGATACGCAGCTTGGGTGTGTGTATATCTGTGTTTGTTTGAGAGAGGGAGAGTGATGGGGAGCTTTTGTGAGAGGGAGGATGTGTGTGTGTGTGTGTGTGTGTGTGTGTGTGCGTGTGAGTGTCTGTGTGTATATGCGAGCCTTTGTGAGATTAATTACTTCCACAAGTGCATTCTTTGTGATGGAGGGTCTGCAGGACGCATGATGAATGTGTAAAAAGTATCCACCCTAGAGATCCTGAAAGTGACATACATGTACTACAATAAAAGATAAAGAAGTTCAGTGATTATTACTCCGGATTAAATAATCCAGATCTTTAAATTGTCTGAGAAAAAAAGAACAGAATTTCAAATCAGTTTTCTGCCCAGAAGCCATGGTCCCCCCAAAAATCTAAACATTTAAGTGTACTGTCTTTCAAAGTGCTTAAGTCCTCTTTAATCTTAATTCTTGTCACTTTATTCACTGGCAAGGGGCCCGAACATTCCTGCATGCAGAAAAAAAAACTCTCAAATATCAGATTAAATGGGAATTAAAAAGTTATCTGTCAACATCATCCACTTATAGTCAGAAATGAGCTTTTATTCATTTCTTTCTGGTATTTTTTAAATAATAATATAGTGAAAGTGAACACTAGCTGGTGTTGTGTCAGATTTGTCGATGCACAAAATAAAGATGCTCGTAGTTCCAGAAGCGAATGACAGAAATGGGATGCTGTCTGTCCTAATTATTATCGTTATCAGTTGTAATAATTACAAAGTCTGTATTTCAGAAAGTCCAATTGTCTTATTGATCTTGATTGTCCAAAGGCATGTTTTACTTTAAATCATCACTGTGCAAATATAACTTTACGTATTTAAACCAAGGTCAAATCAAAAGTTTGCTCATTTTAAACTTGCATTGATACATTCAACCTCGAACAGAAGGTTACCTGCTTAAGCTTCACTGGTTTGTTTTACTGGTAAAATACAAAAATAAAAGAGATTCACCCTTCCTATGAAAGTTCACCTTCAGAATAACATTCTTACCAGTAATCACTATCTTCTTAGACAGGATCATCGGAAACCTTCTGACTAAGTTACACATAACAAGTTTAATCAGAAAATATTGGCATTGGTTCTTTTTATTCTATTTATTGTAAATTCCTTCATTTTGTAATTCCTAGTTTGCAGGAAAAGGATGAAAACAACCCATAAATCCTCATGAACCCATCGTTAGATAAAAGGGTTACGCTGAAAAAGTTCAGAACAAAAATCAATTGAATAATAAATAAAGACTTTTTATTTTTCTTATCTCTTTTATTCTTGCATAGCGGTGTTACACTTCAGCTGCTTTCATTCATGTTTCTTTTTGTTTTGTTTTTGCCAAAGCTCGCAGCTTGCAAAGTTGTTGTGGTAAATTTGGACACATCACTCCAGGTTCAGGTCCAGCTAACTCTCCCCAGGAGACGAGTCAAAAGCCTGGAGGGACCCGACTGGAACCCTGCCCCAACCTCTGCCCCTCCACATGTGTGTGTTCATGGGAAAACTGGGAGATCACGACGACTCAGCAGAGTGATGCCGCTAATATTTGTTTTATTCGACAGTATATTTGTTACATAATGAACATGAAATGTTTTTTGGGGATTATGCAGTTTTGCACAACTGATTTGTGCTTTTCGATTGTCCTTTTTTCTCTGAAACAATAAGTAATAAATAATATGTGGCTGGGAAGATGATAGATTGTTTACAACTTTACCAAATATTCATAAAGTTAGATGATCCAACCCTTTCTGAGCCACTTCAGGACATTTCCCAGGACCCTAGGCAAAAGGTTGTTGCTATGACAACGATCTCTGAGGAACGCTGCAGCTGAAATTCTGCTTGTTGATATTTGTGTGTGTGTGTGTGTGTGTGTGTGTGTGTGTGTGTGTGTGTGTGTGTGTGTGTGTGTGTGTGTGTGTGTGTGTGTGTGTGTGTGTGTGTGTGTGTGTGTGTGTGTGTGTTTGCACCAGACAGTAGCCTTGAGGGACCGGAAGAGAGCGTCTCTGATTAAATAATCAAAATGCTTTGATTGTGTACACGATTGCAAGTTACACATAATAAATAATCAAACACACACACACACACATACACACACACACACACACACACACACACACACACAGAGAGAGAGAGAGAAACGCCAAAATCAGCTAGAGGATTTGACTCTATTTCAGTTCATTAAACTCAGTCAGTTGGAGAAGTGGTCCTCATAAGTCATGTAGAAGGTCAATCTTATCCGTGTGAAACTTTATAAATGTGACAGTGTGTGGATATTGATGCTTTAATGTTAAAAAATGGGTAAAGATTCTTTTATATCCTCTCACTGTGAAATCAGTTATAATGTTTTGAGGTATTAATCCTGCCACTCCTCCACTGACTTCTATGTTATCTGCTTCTAATCTTTACTTTTGCTCAGATTTCATCCTGGGAAGCTGCTGCCTTAATGAATTAATGGACCTGTCTCTTTCTTGTGTCTCTGCAGGAGCGTGTGGAGTATCTGTTCCTAATCATTTTTACAGTGGAGGCGTTCCTCAAAGTAATAGCTTATGGCCTGCTCTTCCACCCCAACGCCTACCTGAGGAATGGCTGGAATCTGCTCGACTTCATCATCGTTGTTGTAGGGTGAGTGACCAAAAACCACCGAAAGGACCAAAGTCTTGTGTTCTTTTCATGATCCTTTCTAATATGATAGATGGAGTGACAAAGATGGTCTCTGTATCAAGTGTATTGTTGCACTTTTAAACATTAGTATACACTGTAAATTTTACAATTTACATTTTATTTCTTTTTTTAACGACTTTTGTTGTGAAGGAATCATCTGATTTCATGTTCAAAACCTCATTTCAGTGGCCTAGTAGAGTGTCCACCCTCGGACTGGGAGATCAGGGTTCAAATCCCGGTTGGGTCATACCAAAGACTTTAGAAATGGGACCCAATGCCTCCCCACTTGACAATCAGCTTTAATGGGTTGGATTGGGGGGTTAAACCACCAAATGGTTCCCAGGCGCAGCCACAGCTGCAGCTCACCACTCCCTTCCAAGGGGGAGGGTCAAATGCAGAGATGTAATTTCAGCAGTGTGTGATGACCAAGGGTTAGGGTCAGTCATCACCCACACTCAAATTGCAGCTTTAACTTTAGCTTATATGCAGAGCAAAACTTCTTCTTGTTCCTTGTGAATTTGTGTAAATGCCACAGTAAACTTTGGCCTGCAGAGCATTGGTGAAGCTTAAACTGATTAGTTTGTGAAATGCTGATAGCAAAGATCTGCTTTGTTTTTCTTTATCTGCAACTCAGCAACATAGCCTATCTACAACACACACACAACACACACACACACACACACACACACACACACACACACACACACACACACACACACACACACACAGGTTTGTATGCATTTTTGTGCCTTCAAGCCAAGCTGCGTTTTGTGTACAGTGTTGTGGTGGGGCAATGGGTACTACAGTCAGTGTGGATCTGACAATTGCATTAGTACAATAAAAATTGTCTAACTGACCGCACGTGTGTGTGTGTGTGTGTGTGTGTGTGCGTGTGTGCGTGTGTGTGTGTGTGTGTGTGTGTGCGTGTGCGTGTGCGTGTGCGTGTGTGCGTGCGTGCGTGTGCGTGCGTGCGCGCGCGTGTGTGTGTGTACTGTGTAGGAGAGAGAGAGAGAGAGAGCAGCCTTTAGCCTGAAGGAGAGCTCCACCAGCACAGACACAAACACTCTGAGAGAGTCTTGTTCATTGTCAAGTGTTCACTCACATTAGCCTTCACTAACTGAACACATTTGGCTTCACCCCATAAAAGCACACAAACACTCACACACCATCGGCTGGCAACATGGTGCCAGTGCCCCTGGCATAAACACAACCTTTAGCACTGTTGCTATCTACCCTCTCTGCCTGCCTCTCTCCCTCGCTCTGTCTCGGTCTGCGTTTGAATTGTGGCTCTTATTGTGATGCAGCTTCATTTATTGTGCAGTAATATCTTGTTGATCTCTGTGAGTAAATTGTCTTTTCCCTCTCAACCATGCCAAAGGCAGTTCAGAAGGTCAAGTACAAGCAGGGACTTGGAATTTTTCAAAGAATCTTTGAAGGCTGATTGCTCTATTTTGAGATGAATTTGTGGGTTCCTGAGATTTTCCTGGGAATTTTATATTTACTTCCATAAAATAATAAACAGGCAAAAAGAACCACACTCATCTTCTTATACAGGAGTATCTGATTCCTTCTAAGTCACACATAACATGCTTAACTGCAAAATACTGTACTAGCATCTGGCTCTTTTTATTGTATTTATTATAAACAACTTTGTTTGGAATTCCTAATTTGCAGAAAAGGGGTGAAAACAACCCGTCATTCCCCACCTTAACCTATCGTTAGATGAGATTTAAACTAGTTAACTAGTTTAGGAAAACTTCAGAACAGGAATCAATTGAATTATAAATAAATAACTAAGTGAATAAATAAATAAATCATTGGTTAACTTATTTCACACCCTTTTTATGTTTTACACACAAAGGGAAGTTTCAGCTCTGACTAGAATGTCCCTGTGTGCATGACTGAGCAGCCATCCCCCACGTGTGTGTGTGTGTGTGTGTGTGTGTGTGTGTGTGTGTGTGTGTGTGTGTGTGTGTGTGTGTGTGCGTGCGTGCGTGGGTGCTTGCGTACGTGCGTGCATGCATTTGTGTGTGTGTCTAACTGTCAGTATGTGTGTGTAGATGAGAAGCGACAAGAGTTGACTCCCTCTGGAATACTCACCATATGGGTGCAGCAGCTTGTACCTGGTGCTGAGCAGCCTCGGGATTCATGCACCTTCAGACATGCATGCACGCACACACACACACACACACACACACACACACGCGCGCGCGCGCGCACACACACAGAGATGCTACACTTGCTGACACATACCTAAGAGGATATTAGTGCGGGTTCAGTGCATGCCAGTGTCTGTGTGCAATATGAACAGATGTTATGAAGACCCTTTCCACATTTTACAGTCTTAAAGCGTCTCATATGTTTTTATCCACAAATTTTTTATGTTATGTATTAATGAAACAATTTAAAGCCTTTTTACCAACTGGGTTCAGATTTGTCCCGTGAGGTTTAAGGCCCCTTTTGTTACAAGCAAATACTTTTTGGTGACACGTGGATCATGGCATTCACATCGCTGCTAACTTTAATAACTTGTTGATTATTATTCTTAAATAATTAAAATATTTTCTGAAAAATAAAACAGACATACCCCAAACACCTTAGAAAACTTGAGTGGCTATTGTGTTATGATATAATAACACAATGGAAATACTGAATCTTTGTGTTTCTTCATAATTAAAAGGTTTTATTGTTGTTTTTTAAACTTTAGAGGCTAAAGTGCAGCAGGCAAACAGGCTTCCAAAGAAAATAGTTTTGTCTCGGAACTCCTCCATCTTCCACATGTCATTGGGGACTGGTCTGTAGCCCCTCTTACACTCCTACATAGAAATCTCACATATACAAGCGCATACACACCGATGCTCACATTGTGCTCTCACAATTATGGACTTGGGCATTTTTAACATAACCTTAGGCTGTGGTTGGCACTAAATGCACTATAAATTATTGCCATGTGCTTTTCAGCAAAAATTGCTACTGTTATCCCCATGTGGTTGGCACTGTGATATTTTGGTTCTGCTGTAAATTTGCAGGGCTAAAAGCATATTCTTGTACATTCTTTATTGTTTATTTTTGTGACCCCCCCCCCCCCCCCCCCCCCCCCCCCCACACACACACACACACACACACACACACACACACCTCTTCCTTTCCAGTCTCCGTGTTTTTTGGGGTTTTAAAATATTTCCAATACAGTTTTGGTATCAGGCGAGGCATTATAGCTGTGCCTATAATGCCTCGCCTGTGAGAGTAAAACTATAAGGCCTGCCTTCAGCACTCAGACATCAATTCTGATTGCTTTACAGCCGGACAGCACACAGAAAAAAATGCATCATGGTCCCTTTTTGAATTTAGTTAAATCAACTGCTTTAATAAAATTCACTTAGCTGACTGACATAGCTCCTTGGTGGAAAGAGATTAACCTACACTGTAGAGGGTAGGTTGTCAAAATGTTATCGCTGATTCCTTTTTAAGCATTATTCTGCAATTATCTAAGATAGCAACAAAGAAATATTGTAAAAATTCAGCATATCTGAAGATAAATAGAACTTTATAAAACACACATTCTCTTATAAATGTGTGGAATTACTGTTCAAAATAATGGTTTATATGATAATTAGCTTAATCACTCACATATGTGTTTAGAGTTTTATAATTCTTAGGATAAATGTTTCATTTTGATGACTACTTTACCTCAGAACTGTCTTCTCTGTAAATGCTCTCAGGCTTTAGTTGTGGATGTACACAGGCCATTATGTGGAGCTACACAAAGGCTCTAATTAATACTTAAATGGAATGCTGGTGATGCAAAACTGTGGATCCTTGACGTGGTTGTCATACTTCGTTTGAAAGGCGTGCTTCCCGCCCAGACCCAGAGTTAATCAAATCGAGAGGGAGGTAGTGCAAAATGGAGAGGCTGGGAGAGCGTGCGTGAGGCAGAGAGGGCGATGTGTTTTGAGAGGCCTTTTCAAGTGGCCATTTCATCTGTGCTAATTGATAATTCTCCATGACTAACACACCACTGACTGGCCTTTGAGCCACGCTAGCTGGTGATTTATAAAGATCTTAGAACCAGAAAGAAATAAAATGGGAGAACAAGAAGCTCAGCTGGTGTGCATTAATTCAAGCTTGTCAGCCACTTGCTCTAAAGAGATGTCTGTAAATAAAAAAACAACTAGCAGTGAGAGCGTTGGAAGACAACAGAATTTTATTGAAATAGGCGAAAACATTCTAAAAAACTTATTTACATCTGTTATTTGCAAAATATGTTAACTTCAGAATCCTAAACTCAAGTCAAGTGCCCTTTCTCCACAGATTTCTTTCTTTTTTTTTTTCTTTACACCTGTGGTTTGCAACATTTCACATTTCAGTTAAAGTTACACTAACCAGTTTCCTGCTAATCGCCCTACTTGTTAAAAGGTGAATTACAACGGCCACAAAAAACTTTGGTACGTTCGTGCTGTGTCTGTCATGTTCTGTGTCCCCTTGGTCCCCAGCCCCCTCCTGTTCTTCCTCTGCGTTCCCCTCATGTGTCCCCTTGTGCTCTGCGTGTCCTTATACTTGCCCAGTCCACTCAGGTTCTCCTCATGTGTCTTCTTGTGTTACCCAGCTCCCTCTAGGCTTCCCTCTATGGCGCGGTATGGGGGCCAAAATTAAGACTACTGCCCAGCAGCAGGAGGCTATAGAAGTTCCGAAGCAAACTACTGATCTGATTAATGATAAGCTGGCGCTGCTTACTGAGAAGTAGCACCTTTACCGGCGTCACTACTAGATATGCTAGGGACTAGCTGCCCTCGGCTGGTCATTGACTGGATCTCACACTCCCTCTGCTGTCTATTAGCATGGATAGGCTAGCGTTAGCCTGGACGGGCTGGTGTTAGCCATGGAGAGGCTAGCCATTAGCGTGCCTAGGCTTGCCACTAGCTGGATTTCCTACCTCCTCGACGGACCATTAGCATGGATAGGCTGGCGTTAGCATCGGAGAGGCTAGCCATAAGCGTGCCTGCTTCGGAACTTCTATAGCCTCCTGCTGCTGGGCAGTAGCCTCCTGCTGCTGGGCAGTAGTCTTAATTTTGGCCCCCATACCGCGCCATATCCCTCATGTTTCCTCCTAGTCACTCCCTTGAAAATTCCCATTTGTTTGCATTAATCCTCCTCACCCCTCTAGTCATTAGTTGTTTATCTTTGCCCTTAGTTTCTAGGTTTAGTTATTTAGGGTTTTATAGGTTATGGTTTATCTTCCCCTCTGCTTCGTTCTTCTTCTTCTTCTTCTTCTTCTTCTTCTTGTTTATTGGCGGGTGGCACCTAACTTCTAGGTTCATTTCCACCACCTACTGTGCTGGAGTGTGAGTCGCAGTAAGAGCGTATCAAAAAATAAATAAATAAATAAAAACTAAATTCTATTCAACAAACCACTGTGTTTTCCTCTGCTTGTTCTTTCCCCATTTAGTTTATTGATTACACCTGTCTTCCCTCTAGACCTCACTCCTCACACCTGTCACCTGTTCCCCTGATTGCTTCCCTCTGTGTTTAAAAGCCCTGTCTTGTCCCTCAGTGTTTATTGGTCCATTGTCTGTGTCAGCATCGTTTTGTTTCCCCACCTGGTCTCTAGTTATCTGCTCAGAAAGTGAGCTTTTTTGGGTTTTGTCAAGGATTTAGATATTTGGCTTGGCTTCCTGCCGCTTTGGAGTTTGTTTTTGTTCCCCATCCTAATAAAAGGAATTTTTATTTTACATCCGCTTCTGCCTCGTGTCGTTCCGGGTGTTCTGCATTTTGGGTCCTAACCTCCTGCTCTCAACGTCACGGTGTACTTCTGATTCCATTTTTGGTTCTTTTTTAAAACACAGAAAAGGTTTCTCTTTACCTTGCTGACAGTTTTGTTTGCGGCTCCTTTAGAGCTGATGGTGACGTCACTTCCTACTCTGTTTATCCGCAGGCAGCAGAGGACGTTGTCGCCCTCTGCTGCCCGTTCTCCCCTCTCCGATGATGCAGTCCCCTACGCGATCCAATGTGTAAACCCCATCGTCTCTGTTCATGGTCCCGCATCCACGTCTCCTTATCTCTATGGCTTCTTTTCTCCATCTTTTGTATTTCTGTTGTTCGGTGTTTATGATCCTTGTGTCGTCCCAGTCCATTATATGGTTTTCTCTTGTGCAGTGATCTGTTACGGCTGGCTTCTTTATTGTGCTTTCTGCTTCTTGTTTTGCTGCTCTTGTGCGTCTTCGACTTGTTTCTCACTCACACTCCTTTCTATGTTCCATTGTTCGTGTGTTGAGTTGGCGTCCGGTTTCTCCTATGTGTGTTTTCTTGCAGAGTTTGCATGGGATTTCGTAAATGATTCCACATTTATGTTATGTTTGGGTTGGGGTGGGGGGGATGATGATGGGGTTTACACATTGGATCGCGCATGGGACTGCATCATCAGAGAGGGGAGAGCGGATAAACAGAGTAGGAAGTGACGCCACCATCAGCATCAGTTCTGAGGATGTTTGCAGCCGCAAACGAAATTGTCAGCACGGTAAAGAGAAACCTTTCCTGTGTTTTAAAAAAGAACCAAAAATGGGGCCTCAAACAACCTTGCTGCAGCTAGTGCTAACAACGAGCTAAGACTAGCATGAGCCATCTGATACATATATACATCTGAAATAAACCACTTCAAGTAAAACGATCCACACTGCTGGGCAGAAATGTTATTACTTACAAGTCCAGTACCAACAAAGCCAGGTCATCATCAGTCTGGGATTTTGTATTCTCGTTTAGCTACCTCAAACTAGTGAAGGCTGTGACAATGTTCACTCTGGTTTTAGCTCTTTGCTTCATCTCCAAGGACATTACTCTCTTTCTTTTATGCCCCGGCTCTGCCGTGATGCTAACAACAAAGCAAACTTCTTTTTTCTTCTTCTTGTGTTTTTTATTGATGGTCGGCAAACTTAAAAAGCTAACCTTTACATTAGTTATTGACATCGTAAACAGCTAACAGCCATAAAGCAGGCAAAGAGCGCCCCCTAGGGCGTCGGCCCGTTCCACAAAACCGTTAAGTGCTGTTTCTGATCAGCAGAGAGCTGCAGAGGGCTGTCCAATGGGACGCGTGTATACTTACACAATCACTGAACTCAACTTTTAAAGGATTGGTTAAAGTGTTAAAAACTGTTTAGTGTCGCTTTAAAACCAGTGAAGTTTCTTATGCAAATTTCTGTTTTGTTGTTGGCACTTGAAACAGTTTTCAGATTTTTGGTTCAGTCAGTTTGATTTAGTTGCATGAGATTTTACCTCAAGTCCCCAGCACTTGAGGTAAAATCTCATCTGTGAAAACATAATAAACAAA